ATTTGCACAAGCACAATGGAATTTTCATATTTTTTCTGGGCAGTGACGATATTTCTATTATTGAAGGTGGCCCAAGCAATCGCAAGCTGTGATCTCGAAATAAAGTTGGGCAATGGAAAAGTTACTGAGACATCCAGTTGGTACGGGGGTGACTATATCGAGTTCGAGTGCGATCGTGGATATATCATGCAGGGCAAATCTTGGCACCTCGGCAGCGGAAACATTCTGAAGAGATTCTGTGCCAGTGAGTGGTATAGGTATTTCAACTAGGTGCAAACTACTCCCATTTTTCTTTCAGAGGCGGGATGCAAAGATTTTGAGAAACCGGAGAACGGAAAGATATCCACCGCCTCAGGAGGCTTAAAGGCGGTCATCACTTGCGATGAGGAATTTATTCTCAGTGGAAATTCGGTGACATACTGCAATGGATCGCAGTGGATCCTTCCGTTGGGAACTTGTCAGATGCAAAATCATACGGGTGACTATTCCTGCGACTTCGAGAGGGAGGATATGTGTGGTTGGACGGCCAGCAAGGCCATACCACAACCATGGCAGCGGATCAGGGCTGCAGCTGATTTCCAAAAGAAGAATTGCCTCCGGCAGGATCACACCTTCCAGAGCGACGTCCAAGGACACTTTATCCGCCTGCAGTCGCAGGTGCATGCCTTCAGGACCTACCACTTCATGTCGCCGATCTTTCCCAGGAACCTCACCTCAGGCAACTCCTTGCGGTTTCAGTTCCAACTCTATATGTTCGGGACGGGAGTGAAGAACCTGACGGTCTCAGTGAAGCCCGGTTCAATGCCAGCCGAAGATATGTGGAAGACTTTCAGGGCAAAGTAAGTTGATAAGCCGGGTCTTCTTAATCTAAACTAATTTAAATGCTTCAGCTCCACCAAGCTTATTGTATCTGGAAATCAAGGCGCCAACTGGCAAAGCCATTCAATCCACATTAGTGAGATGGATACTGACTTCCAGGTTGTATTCACGTGCGCGGATCCCAGTTCTCTAGGTGGAGACATTGGCATCGACGATGTCAAATTTATCAATGAGAGAGTTTGACGAAAACCGTAGTCACCGAGTCAGCATTAATGGATAAAAATGAAATTAATAACATTCAAATTAAAGTAAAAAGTTAAAAATTAAATCAATATAAATGTTAATGAATATGTTAAATGTTCTATATATATACCATTGTATAAAACCCTAATCTATCAACCTACAACTCCGGCAGTGAACTTGTTGAACCTGCATTTTTGGAATATGGAAAGTAGGTAACACCATGTGGTTTCCCAAAAGTTCAAGTGCAATGACGGATACACCCTTTAAAAAAGTAAATTTTCATCTAACGATATCCCAACAGGTCTTCTCAAGGGGGAAATATTATTTTGGACATTTAAGGAGATTTGAAAAGCATCTAGGTTCTTAATATAAAACGCTTTAAAAACAAAAAATGAATCCCGAAATTTAGATATCGTACTTTCTCGAAGTATATGATCAAAAACAACGAAGTTGCAATATTTCTATGACATTTATTTGGTTTTGAGTTCTGTATATATTACAATTACAATTGTAGGAACTACTATCTAAAAAATGTTGAAAAAAATTCCTTTCAAATTGACTTCAGGTTATAGGTAATTCCAGCTTTTCTGTTTTATCTAGATGTCTTTAGGAATTCTAGATTACAAAACTGTTAAACTTGAAGACATCCAATAATAATAAATGTATAGCAAAAATACAGACGTTGTGTTTTTTATATTCTAATCGAAAGTAGAATAGGCGGTACAACAATGCTTACTACTGGGGAAATTATTTTCTTGTATGTGTAAAACAACCAGCTTGTAGTGACTTGAGAATGATAAATTGTTTATCTGCAATAGCTGCGAAGAGAGTTCGCCGGGCTTTCAGTGTTTTGCGGTTGTTCCGGAACTTATCATCTGAGACCCCTCTTCGTAACGCTGACTTGATAAACCTCGACTCGAGAAACAGGCGAGCACCGATCGTCGCTCAGTCTTTTTTCAGCATCCGGACTTACATGTCCAGCAAAGGCATCGTATCCCTTATAATGGAATTTTTCTGGGTTCTGGTTTTTCTGGTTCTGTTGATATACAGTACAGATCAAACAAATGGACGCTGTGAACAAGTTTTAGATTTGCAACATGCCACAGTGAACTATAGAGCGCGGAGTTTTGTAAGAATCAGGTGTCATCGTGGTTATTCTCCGCAAGGAGTAATGATTAAAGCCTGCGATCAAAGTGGTCTCCTTCGTGGGGAAAAGCCTTTTTGTGCCAGTGAGTGGAAATAATTAAAAAAAATATAACAAAAATTTATCAATATAAGGAATAAATAGATTTTCGAGTGCATAAAAAAATGTAATTTTGTGACTAGTGCATTAATTTATAAGAAAGTCCTTGTAGCACAAGGAAGTAAGAAAGAATTAAATAAAGTACACATACAAATACATAAGTGTAGGCAGTGCGAAATTTTCTGTTCCATATAAAGGCAACATATAAAAAAACAAGTTTAATCATTAAGTTTAACAGAATTGGAGGCCTTCTGCACAAAAAGAACATAATTCTAAATTGATATCTTGATATGTTCCCTTACTTAGGAAGAGGATGCGACGAGCCAGATACTCCTGAAAACGGACACATTGAAAAGAACCCCTTGAAGGCGGAAATCATATGCCTCGAAGGCTATGTGCTGGTTGGAAGTCGCACAGCCTTCTGCGATGGATTGAAGTGGAGCACCCAGTTGGGATTCTGTCGGAGGAGCAACCACACGGGCGACCACTCCTGCGACTTCGAGAGCGAGGATCAGTGCGGCTGGGAGGCGGAGACGCACTACCGGCAACCCTGGAGGCGGGTCAGCGCGGTGTCCGAGTTCCACTCCGTGAATACGGGTCCGCACCACGATCACACCTTCGGCAGCCGATCCGGCGGACACTATATGCGCATGGAGAGCCAGCTGGGGGCCTTCGGGAGCTACCACCTGATGTCCCCGATCTATCCCAGAGAACTCAGCCTGAAGACCGCCTGCTGCTTCCGGTTCCATTACTTCATGTTCGGGAGGGGCGTGGAAAGTCTGGTGGTGTCCGTAAAACCCGTCTCGATGACGATGATCGACATGTGGAACAGGTTCAGGGCCAAGTGAGTTTTGCCGCAGCGGATGAGCAATGTGATAAGCCGGCACAAGCAATGCGATAAAGACGGGAACATTGTTTCCAGCGTTTTATCATAATTTCGTATACAGAATGAATTCGTTTTTCATGAATGAAATCTAGGCTATAAAAAAATTTGCTAAATGTGATTGAAGTACTTTCATGTTTTAGATACAAATTCTTGTTGTTTGTTTCAAAGATTGACCCATGCGATATTTTTTAAACTGAAAATTATTTCTGCAAATTATCGATTTTCTATTTTTCTATTTAATACCATATATATTTCCTGCCTTACTCCTCAGCTCAAGCAAATTCGAGATTACTGGTCCCCAGGGAACCGAGTGGCGGGAGCATACAATCACCATCGACGAAATGCAGGAGGACTTTCAGGTGATCTTCTCGGCCACGGATGCGAGGTCCCAGTTCGGGGACATCGCCATCGACGACGTGAAGCTGATGACGGGCAGCGACTGTGGGGTGAATGGGTTTACGACCACCACCGAGCCACCGCCAACAACGATGGTCGGCGGCGAGGAGCGTTTTGTCTTCGACATGATGAATTGCACGGGACGCTGTGGATCTCCGGATCCCGGTGTCCAAATTACCGAACACGGTTTCGTCTTGGGTTGTAGCTGTGACGAGGGATGTCTATCGGCGAGTACTTGCTGTCTCAACTATTTAGATGAGTGTCAGAAAGAGATGGACACAACGCCCTTCGATGATCTGAGTTCACCAGCAACACAAACAACACCCACTACTACTGCAACTACCACCACAAAGAAGCCAGACACAACGACAGAGAAAACAACAACGACCACAACTACAACGAAGAGGACAACCACTTCGACAACGACAACAACACCAAAGCCACGCACATCCACAAAGAGCACAACCACCACAACAACCACTAAAGCCCCGACAACGCGAAAAACTTCAACAACAACGACTTTAACAACACCAAAGCTAACACCAACGAGTTCAACAACGCCAAGGACAACAACCACAACGCCAAGAATAACAACGACTACGAAAGTATTTACAACTAAAATAACAAGACCCATAACAACAACAACACAAAAAACCACAGCCGCAACCAAAAAGTATATGACAACAACCACTAAAACAACAACAATGAAACCTCCAGCTTTAAGTACCCCAAAGATCACAGGTAATAATATTGCTTTTAACTGTAAAGGGATATTAAATGTATTATATATTCAGATCTTTTGATCAACTTTACTATTCCCAAAAACTATGATATGATATAATATTCAACATAATATTTTTTTTATTTTATCCCCCAGTGATCGGCACCACCGAGAAGACGAGGAAGCGCATTACTTGGAAGGTTGATCCGCAGGAAATCGCTGGTCATACGGACACGAGTGACAGTACCCCGAATCCAGCTTTAATAGTCCTGTACATGCTCGTCGGCTTAGTCCTAGTGATAGTACTGGCCAATGTCGTCCAGCGTTGGATAATACCACTGAGTAGAGCGAGATCTAGTAGCGAGAAGGCCGTGAGTTTCAGAAAGGCATTTGAGAGTCTGAAGAAACATCGGAGGAGAAATAGCATAGACGATCCATTGTGCGACACTGATAACGAGGACGGCGACTATTTCGAGGAAACGGGCGTGGACATACGCAATAGGACTGACCTATGAGGGTGACCTATCAGAATGGGCAAAACCGCCATCTGAGTTACATTCGCTTATCCCTATTATGTAGGAAGTTATAAACTATTAAATCAAGATTAAAATAGAAAACGATTCGAAGAAAATATTATGGTTCAGCTCCTTGGTGTTTTTAGAAATACTTGGGATATTAAATCTACCAAGCAACTAAGACAAGGTCCCATAAACATTGACGTAGGCCCGCTTAATACCCCTGGCATACCAAATGCTAAAAAATCCGTAATCGCCCTTGGGAAACGGCAACACATTCGTCAATTGTTGGTTTAGATGCGATGTGGGTGCCTTATCCACCATGACGTCATGCTGAAAAGGTCTCACAAATAAATCGTAAATGGTATTTATTTTGTGGGGACTCACATTGTAAGGACAAGGATGGTTCATATTGGAATAGGGACTGAAAAGATTGTAGATAAACGCGGCCACTGGAGAAGAATTTCGATTAACAATGAATTTGCAAGCATCGATGGTGATGTTGTACAGAAATGGTTTGTAACCATTCAAGCGTTTATAGAGAGCCAGATTTAACTGTAAGTACAATAGCAAATCGTATAATCTGTCTGTGAAAATATACGTTCACCTGCATACTTTTACTTTGTCAACTGGCAACTGATGTAAGTTCACTTTCAGAGATCCATACTTGTAGGTTCGATTCACAGACTTCAGAAAGCAGTATTCAAAAGTGGAAAACGAAGAGTCCACCGAAGTGCACTTAATATTTGTAAACTCAAAAGCTGCACGGATCTAATGACACAAGTGTGAGATAAGAACAAAAATACTATATGCGTTATTCATGTGTCATTTTACTTGGGTGGCCATTGAAAAGATAAGACAAATCCAAGGAAAAGCGAATGATTTTTTAAACATTGTAGTCGATGAGCAAATTCGAAACTGTTTATTAAGTTTAAGGGGTCAACAAGTAAACAATATTTAGTATTCCGAATATTAAAAACCCATTAGTGGGTTAATTTGTTTCCATATGTGATCATACTTGTGATTATATATAAGTACTTAAAAATCACTCAAAAGAATTTATGGGTGACAATCTCACTTAAAAGGCATACACAAATTTGTTTGTTATTATTAAAAATGTGTAGCTTATATAGGGCATTTGAATAATTTCCTTTCCTCTTTCAAAGTCTACAATTTCTAATATTACTTGATAGAATTGTGCTGTTTTTTAATGTTAGTAAACATTTTTAGAAGGGTTCAGCCCTCCAAGAATAACTGTGAACAACCCAATCAAATTAGGCTATATTGTGATTATGAAAAGGGCAAGAAAATTGAAGTAGCTGTTATATATTGCGGGTTCGAAAAGTTAACCCTCGGGAACGAATCTCTTTTGGACGCATTTAACGAGCTTCGAAGGAGTTTCGCAGCCTCCCCAACCTTCGCCTATAATCAAATCTTGTGGGGAGTGTCAGTTACTAGGAAAATGCCTCCGGCTTTGAGTTCCTGCGGATGCTCGGGCTTCTGTCAGTCAGTCGCCCCATATCCTATATTTTCACCGCCCTCTCCTTGGAATCCGGGTGTTGCACGTGTCCTGCCAGCGGCTGTTGCAACCACCGACTACTGCCGAGCAGAAAAAAAAAAGGCTGAAGACCCAAGAACCCAATAACCTAACCAAAAAACCAAACCAAGCCAAAGCAACCACCAACGGAGTTTTCCGAGTTTTCCGGGGCCAGATCGTGTTTTAACAGCGGCTCTCGGTTGTGATTTACTGGCAGCTTAGCGTCTGGCACCGGACCAGTTACCAGTAACCAGACAACCAGTAACCAGACAACCTCTATCACACCCTTCCTCTGCACAGAGAGAAATAGAACGAATTACTACTGAAACTGAGGAATGTAGAAATCCTTAATTCAATGACAATATTGTGAATAGTTTGACACAAAAATAAAAAGAAGCTAAAAATTACACTTAAAATATATTTGTCTGCATAAAACCAAAAAGTTAATGCATTAAAGACCTTTCCATTAATTTTTTATTTCGCTTTTGAAAACCTTAACGTTTTATGGCTAATCTTTTACAGCCCTATTCCTACTAATTGTAGTGAATCATTTATTATTTTATTAAAAAACAGAATAACCCTAATAAAGAAAGAAATACAATTTGTCAGGTGAAACATTTTCAGCTTCTTTTAACCTATTACCTTTTGTTTCCACACAGATTTTCAACATTTTCTCACTGTGTAAAAACGATTTGTGCGGCTCTCAGCAGAAATATTTTTCTGGGCATTTGATGCAATTATAGCTCCTGGACCAGACGAATCCCAGACCAAAGCCCCCAACGAAATAGCAAGTTTGCACGCTCAACAAATTTTCACACAAGATTTTCCAGCCTTGAGTTTTCCGCAGCGTTTTGCATGCACCCCTGATGTTTTTTGGGAAAAAGTCCCCCTTCCGCTCCCCCTCAGCCGGCGGCACTTTTATTTTTTCCATGACTTCCTGTTTGCCATTGTGATTTAACGCCCGCCGTCGCTCTCTATCGACTTCTCACACATCATTTGGCGGCGAGAGTTTTCCTGTTTCACTGCTGTTTTTCCCACTTTGGGATTTAATTAAAAAGGCATTTTGATGGGCCAGACAGGGGGCGTGCCTCAAGTTGCTTTTGGCGCATTTTCACCCTAATGCTCATTGAGGCCCTAATTAAATGGTAAGTAAGTCGGCTTATCTGCGAACTGGAGGGGTTAAGGATGGTCTGGGGTTGGGCCATGGCTATATATACGTTTTTTATTCGGGTGCATTGCATGCGGAGCATCGTAAATTTTTGCATGGACAAATTTTTGCATGGAAAATTGCGTGGTAACGGTGGGTTTTAGGGGGCTCACCTTATCTATCGCATTCCGGACAAGCCCACACACGACGCTGGAGTTGGTAAAAAGGGACGCACCCTTGACACCCTGCTTTATTCCCTGCCAAGTCCCTAGGCCTCTGGCTGTCCCCTTCTTATCGGGGCAATAAATCGCATTAATTTATTGTTGTCGCCGCATATTCGGCGGCACGGTGGAAAACCCCACCCACTCAGCCCGTTTTCCCTTAATGGGATTGTCCACTAACTGGCGAAAATCGGAGGGTGGCGAGGAAAGGCGACAGCAACTGCATTATTATTGTTTTCCACTTAAAGGTTTTTTTTTGGCCACCTGAAACTATGCAACATGTCTTTGGCACACAGGGAAAAATCTTAGGTTTATTCAATACGAAAATATGTTTTTTACGCAATTAAAAAATGTAATACATGCCGGATAATATGTTATTTGATTTCAAACATAACAAACTGATTTAAAGTTCAGGTAGCTTATTGCCAGATATTAATATAAATTCAAATCCTAACAACCAAGTGCGCTTTATTGCAAGTGTGCCCCCCGTACAGGGTATATATCATTCCTCAATATCCCCCACGACATAAAAATGTCTCTGCATTACGTTTTTATTGTTTTCTCATTTCTATCAGCTGCGTCAGCCTTTCAGTTTTGTCCTTTTAATCTTCATGTGCGAAATTGTTGCCTAAGATCCCAATCGGAATAAGGGGGAGATATGGAATATGGGGAGTATGGGGAGTATCAGGACTCAGGGGCCTCCGAATATTTATAACACTACGGCTGCAATTTATTATGCAGTGTCTGGACACTGGACACTGGACACTGGTCAGTGGAAGTGGAAGAGAAATTGTGCAGTGGAGGGGAGCTGAGTTTTGGCTACTTTAATGTGCCAGTCACCAAAGATGTCACCTTGTGTGGGGCTCCAGGGGGTTAAGGGGCTCGACAGAGGGTGTTTCAGGCAACACACAAAACCTGGCCAAGATTTATGCACTCAAGTTATGGCGGACCAGACTGCAACTTTATCGTTGCCACTGGGGTTTTACACGAAGAGAAAAATATTACAGAAAATAAATGATTCGAAGGGAAGTGAAGTTAGTGTAAGAACTGTTATCCTTGTATATTTAATCAATACCTTTGCAGCAAGAAAAACCAAAAAAAATTTATTTTATTGAAGATATTTTTTATTTTTATATAAAATATACCAGATAAGATTATTAACTAATTAATAGAAACCCATATTTTGTCTGCAGTAAACAGTACAGAATTGTCTTTGGCCTAGCAAAAAATGTAGATAGACTTTATGAAATATTTGGTTTCTCCCGGTGTACACGGCTGGTTTTCCTTTTTCCAGCTTGACCAGAGTTTTCAGTTACCCCTCCCCCTATTTTCCACCCCCTTCACTGCAGTTGTTGTTGCCTGGTCTCGACATTTCCTGTTGCCGTTCGTTATCAGTTTTCCAAAGTTGTTGTCGACTGCAGATCTTTTTGCACTTCTTGTGTGTGTCAGGCAGTATTTTTGCACAACACTGTGACTACATTTAAATAAATACAGAAAGCAAAAACTAGAAGGCCCTTATTAAGTTGTAACTGGAAATTTCTCGGAAAACTATAAATGTTATCAATTTATTACGAACTATGCGAACACAGAGAGTAATTAAAAGGAGATACGAGATTAGTCATTGTTTAAATAATTAACAAACATTGCAATTTTGAAGAAGGTATATAAATATATTGACATTTTATATATATGACGAACCCTGATAAAGAAGATCGCACCGTAGCAATTCTAGCTAAAATGTAGGCTTCAAAGCTGGCCAGGTTCGCCTAATATATGACACCATTGAATCGTTTTATAGTTGCAATATCAAAATATCTGATTGCTGACTTCTGATAAGCCGACTTTGTAAATAAAGAATTTTGCTTATAAATAGCGTGAAATTCTAAAAATCACAGTTGTTGCTTCAAGATGGTCAAAGTTGTAGGTTTGGTAGTGGCTCTATTCGCATTGTTTCTAGTGGCTTTTGCCAATCCAGAAGACTATGGTGAGTTGATCAGGCTGCAAAAAGACCTTGAATTTTCACTAAATTTAACCGAAAATGACTTTAGATACCGAGCACACTTGGGTAGCTGGAAACCTCTCGCTGTCTTTTCCTGCGAACGCAGTACTGGGTGGCGTCTCAACCAAGGGATATTACGTATACGTAGGACGCGTTAAGTACGGTGGAGTTTTCCCCGTTCAGGTGGTAGCAGAGACTGGTTGGATCACGTGGCACAATGGAACCTATGCTTATCAAGGTACGAAATTCTATGATATCTTGGTGACGTCAAGTAACTCTTCCCTGGAGTGGATAACCAGCCACGATGGGAAATATGAAAGAGGTTTGGTAGCCGTTGGAACCTCGACCATTGACGAGCTGGTTTTCGTTTGCCGTGCGATTACGCCTGTTGGTCAGCTTCCTGGAACCCTGATTCTCGGCTCAAAGGTCTGCTGCGTGGCAGGAAGCACGGCCAAGTATGACAAGTACGAGGTTCTAGTGGCCCGATGAAAATGTAAGAGGTTACTCAAGTGAAATAACTAAATTGGGTTTTTCCAAAAATATAAGTGTATATATAAAGCAGATTTGAGCATCAGCAAAACTAGTAGGCTTTCCTTTATTAACATTACTCGAATACATATGTATGTAGCTCGGGAGCGTATTTAAGCCCCTATATTACTGCGGTGCAATCTTCTGACTTAAAATGCAATAGCCTCTGCCAGGGTATATAAATTAGCTTACTAAAGGAAGGATAAAGATCAGCGCTACATGTTAAAATCCAAAGGTAAGTGTTAAAAACTCAGGTAGAAGCACCACAAAGGATATGATGGCATACATTTTCACTTTTAAATATGATCAGGATGCCGAAAATTAGGAAAGTCATTTGACTTGGAGTGGTAAATCTGCTGTAATTTACTTCCCAAGTGTGGGATATTTAGGAGTTCTGAAAAACCTGATACTTGTCGTATAAGGTGTGATAGATTCCAGCGCCAATATTATCAACATCATATGTTGATAATTGTGTTGAATTGATTTGAAGTGAGTTGAATTGACTTGAATTAAATTCGCAGTAAAAATAATCAAAGTTCTTTTCTCATTATGAGTTGGTTTTAAATCCGCTTAAAGGCCAAGCCAAAAGAATCCGCCTCATGGAAACTTAGTTTCTCCAAACCGCTCACCATTTTTCCCATTTTCATTGACGTCATCATGGGGATCTCAGGATCATCGCCATAATCACCCGGCAACAGCATAAAAACTAATTAAGCATCACATTTCACATCCAATTCGACCTCTTGCTCCCCTGAGTATCCGCAAATGGCAGGAAAAATAATATTGCAAAAAAGGAAGAAAATCTAAGCAGAGAAAAAGAAAAACCAACCGAAATCGAAATATAAGCCAAATAAATTTCCCGTTCACCAAATGCGCTTTCATAATTAATATGAAAAACAAGAGGAGAAACAAGGAGCCAAGTCATAGCTGCCATGACAACAAATGGAAATGAAAGGGGAAATGGAAAATGGATGGCGGGGTGCACAAGTTATCCTTGCCTCAATATTTTCAGGGTCTGGCTTCGGGATTGATGTGCATTACACAAGGACTAATCCGCATCCGCATTCGCATCCCCATTCGCATCCGCACCCGAATGAAAAGTGCGGCAACGGCAGAAATTCTAAGAGTTTCCGCTACACTACAAATAATTATTTATATTTATATTTATACTATATTTATATTTAATATTTTTAATTATTCTTGGTGGGCACAAATACAATGTGCATGTTCTTATTTATATCTTATTTATATACAAAAAATGATTTACTTAAAATATTGGCTGGCAATAACATAACATAAATTTTAGGTCGTAGATTTTCAAGAGCAATAGAAATTGGTTAGACCTTAAATAGGTCTAAGTATACCATAAATGACTGCCATTACTCTAAAGTTTATTTTTCCAATGCACCTTTCCAAAAACATATCGAAAATCAAACAATTGTCTTTCTTACAATGGCACACCACATTCATTGTGCTGGCACACCCGGCAATTGATGTGTTGTTTTTCCACCAGCTGTTGGAGGAGCTGGAAAAGCCGAAGAAGGAAAATCTGGCGGGAAAGGGAGGAAAAGCCAAAAGAAGCTGCAACATTGCATGGTTTAATCAGCAGCTTACAAGGGTAAACAATGGGAGGGAAAGCCAAAAAGTGCATGAATCGAGGAACAGTGGGCCGAAAAGTGGGTGGGTAAATGCGATCCATCAAAATGAAATTGAAATCTTTTGCTCATTTTTGAGCTTTTCCGAGTGGTGGATGAAAGGGGCTCTCGGCGCGGGGGGAAGATACAAAAATTGGGATTGAAATTCGCATTTGGCATTGCAGTTTGTCTTTGGCTTGACTTGGCTGCTCCGGCTACTGTTCGTCCTTCCCCTCCAGATCCCTGCTCTTGATTCCAGAGGATGCTGCCTGCTCCGTGGCCCAACCCCCTCGAACAGTTCCACCCCCCTGCCATGTCAATCAATGTCAATAAAACAATTACTGTCACTTGCAGCTGGGCAAAGGCAAGGACAACCGAAAGGGAAAAGGGCTGGAGTTGTGGGAGTGGCAGCGGGCTGAAAAGGATGAACAGCCAACGACTTTGGACTTGGTGTCATGTTCGAGTAGCTGGAAAAGGGAGTCCAGGGAGTCACCAAGGACGGAGGACTCCCCTGCAGTTGTCGCAGCTGGAGTTTTCAAATCGAAGCGGGCTGGCCACTCAACAAAAACCCGCCCACACGCTGGGCGGAATGCACTGCCACAAAAAGGGGACTTTAACTTAAATGAAAGTTAGCTCTTGTTAAAAATAAAACTTAGTAGAGGTTTCGGTTAGGTGATAATAGTTATCAATATGGCCAGCTTCCCTTAACTCTAAAAGCTTAAAGCTAAAGATTCAAAATAAAGAATAATTTTTTTAATATAGCACATATGTTATTTATTTTAGTTTTGGGCTTATAGAGCATGTAAAAAATATATTTAAAATTATTCTATAAACTTGCAGTCTTAAAGTGTGATTTAAAATGTAGTTCTTCAAATATAGGTACCTTAAAAATGTAAAGATTTGAGGATTTCCGTGATTAAAACTAAATGTTTTGTTCCTGAAGTGTACGCTCCCTTTGCTGCCGCTCAGGGCCCAAGGAAAAACTTCTCCCTCTGCCGCATTTTGGGGTAAAGTGTTTGCGGTTCTGCATCTCTGGTACCCCTCTGCCCCCTTCGTCAGCCCCTGTTATTGGCAATAAAACCCGATGCCCCACTACCAACTCCCCCAGAAATACGCAACTCAACTCCGCCAGAGAACTCGACTCAACTCCATTGGCACTGTGACAAATCGTTTGCTTTAGACATGGCCTGCCATTGGCATAATCGTTCAGTCATTGCAGTTTCTGTTGCACAGGGGGCCTTATCTCTTTTCAGCCCCTTTTACCCACCCCTGAAGCCGGCAACATTGTGTCTAGCTTTGAGTTACATTGTCTCCACATCGAAGTTGCTTTGACAGCCATCGACATTTGCTGGAGGTTTTTGGTCCTCTGCAGCCACATGCATTATACATGAACCACCTCGAAAACCCCTTTCGGAAACCCCCAAAAAACCCGGAAAGTTCGGATGGAGGCGGTGACGGGGGAGGCAACAAAGCCAGGAGAAGTGGCAAGAAGTTTCAGGAAGGAGAAGCCTTTTGGCAAGCCATGACAAACTTTGTGTTTAGCCAACATTCGAAATTAAAAGTAAGAGGGCGACTCTGAGAAAATCAAGGCGACACAGTGAAAGAGAACTGCACTGGAACAAAAATGGTTTCTTTTAATATGAGCATACGAATTGTGGAAGGTAGAAAAGACCCATAACTTCTTAAGCTGACAAAATAATTAAATGCAGGTTTAAGTTTGCAAGTTTAAGTTTTTTTTCAATTTACTTATATTTTACAAGATGGAGAATTTTGGTTATAGAAATAATAATGTTTTGATCATAATATAATAATTTTATATTTGTTCAACAAAATAATTAATTTTTTATATAAAGATATCTCCTCAGAAATGTTGTCTCCTCAGAAAAGTCTCTTTTAAAAAAAGACTAACTACATAAACATACTAAATTAAAGTAAGACGAAATTTGTTCCAAATTGTTTACCAACCTTGCTATTTGACTTAATCAATACACTCATTTTTGGAAGTGTTGAATATTAGTAGAAGGATGAAAAGGTTTAAGAGAAGGCAATTGGAGACGGGAGTAAAATCGCCAGAGGGGCTCCGCTCGGTTCGACTCCATTCGTGAGTCTGGAATTGTGCATCTGCCACTGTGATTGGCTCAGAAATCACAGGAGTGTGCTGCACTTCGCAATAATCCGAGCTGGATTGAATGCTCCTTCTCTGGACTCCATATGGCAGAAAAGTCCAGGAAGGCCTAGGCTCGGGACTCTATTTATGAAGGTGGTCGCCTAATGGATTGGATTGGGTTTTGCAAAAGCACACTGACTGAACAAAGAAGACAGAAACAGGCAGTATTGGAAAATTGGTAATTACATTATCACCCGAAAAAATTAATAGGTGAGTCCACAGAGAAAAAATTTGATATGAATAGGTCATCAAGCCGACAATTTTGAACTTGAGTTATGGCTTGAATACTATTACTGCAAAAATATATTTTTTTATTAGTTTTAAAAGGCTTTACAAAATATATTCATGACACTACTGATTTTATTACGTATTTAGCACAGGGAATTCCCTGCTCTTCAATCAAGTAACCCAAGCTGAATTCTAATTAATCGATAGATTATGAATGCCCAATACCTGACCACCTGCACCCACCACATCCCTCGCCCCTAATGAATACAATTACAATTAGTCAATTAGCTAATCGTCTTTGCTTCTTGCCGTTGAATAAACCGAGTCAATTCAAATGTATCTGACGGATGCATAAGTATGCATATGTTTGGAGTTCAGTGGGTGAGTATCTGGGTATCTGGGAGTATCTGTGACAGATTCCGCCCACAGATCGGATCACTGCATTATTCATGCAGACTGCATGCGGTTCTCAGTCGTGGAAAATGGGCAAACGCGGGGGAAATGTGGGGGAAATGTGGGGGAAGTGGGCGGTACAAGGTGGGAAAGTGACAAACGAGCTGTAAAAATTGTTCCACACGAAACCAAATGAAATATTCACGAAATTGTTGAAGGAACTGCAAATGCATTATAAAACGTGCACGCTTACTGAAGGCGACAGATGAATAGAGATGGATTTGGAGGGGGCGGGGATCTGTATCCATGGAATAGATGTCAATGATGATGATGATGTGACATTCAATGATGATGGATTTTGGCAAGTGTTCGAGCAAAAGATGTCAATAGAAACGGAAATACAACGACAAATGAGACAGTGGGAAACACTTGGATAGATATAAGGACAAAAATGGTTATTTTAGGAAGCGGGATAAATGATTTGGTGTTGCTTAAGCTTAAAAAAACAGGGGGCTTACAATGGTTAAAGTTTATGGATAATATAATCATATCTTTATAAAGACCACCATGTTAAAATGCAAAATATAATTAAACATAAAAATTTATTCAATCGATAACAATAAAACTAGGCAAATAAGGTGCAGATAAACAGATGTGAGTACGTGGTCCTTCGACTCGATCGCTTTGACTTACAACATCCACTGAGGTTCTCCGCAGACACACTGCTTGACTTTATTCTCCAGACTCTTCAGGAGGCTGATCAAGTCTTGGCACAGGTTCTCCCGACTCGGGCATCCGGCGCACGGTTGACCACCGGGACCACATGGCTTGCAACCACATCCGGGCTTCTGGGTGGTTGTTCTCGGTGCCTCGGTGGTTGTTGTTTTGGGTGGTCTGGTTGTCTTAGGTGATTTGGTTGTCTTAGGTGGTTTGGTTGTCTTGGGTGGCTTGGTTGTCTTAGGTGGCTTGGTCGTCTTGGGTTTCTTTGTGGTTGTCTTCCTGGTCGTTGATAATGTTGGGCGAGGTGTAGTGGTTGTCTTCTTGGTCGTTGTCTTCTCGGTCGTTGTTGTTGTTGAGCGAGGTGTAGTAGTTGTTGTGGTTGTTGGAGGAGGTGTAGTGGTTGTGGTTGTTGGAGGAGGTGTAGTAGTTGTGGTTGTTGGGGGAGGTGTAGTCGTTGTTGTTGTTGAGGTTGTGGTTGTTGTTGTTGTTGATGTTGTTGTTGTAGTTGTAGTTGTTGGGGGCGGTGCAGTGGTTGTTGTTGTAGTCGTTGTTGTTGTGGTGGTTGGCTTTTTAGTTGTTGTCGTTGGTGTGGTGGTTGGCTTTTTAGTTGTTGTTGTTGTTGCGGTGGTTGGTTTTTTAGTTGTTGTCGTTGGTGTGGTGGTTGGCTTTGTTGTTTTTGTGGTGGTTGTCTTTTCAGTTGTGGTTGTTGTTGTTGTTGGCTTTTTAGTTGTGGTTGTTGTTGTGGTGGTTGGCTTTTCAGTTGTGGTTGTTGTTGTTGTTGGCTTTTTAGTTGTGGTTGTTGTTGTTGTTGTGGTGGTTGTCTTTTTAGTAGTGGTTGGCTTTTCAGTTGAGGTGGTTGTTGTTGCTGTGGTAGTTGGCTTTTCAGTTGAGGTGGTGGTTGTCGTTGTTGTTTCTTCACATGGTGGTGGTAATGTTGTTGTGGTTGGTTCCGGACAACCACATTCTAACGTTGAACTCGCATAGTCGATCAGAAAGACACTCGCTGAATAATTGCAAGGAAATAATAATATTTTATGTGGGTTCTAACAGAGCTTCTTAAAAATTACCAATCAAAAAGAAAAGAGTAAACTTCATGTTGATTTCTTTTTCTTTTGACGGAGCAACAAAGTACTCTAGAGAAAATTGCGCCCCTGACTGCTGTCCTTATCGGTTCTTCGATCCCGTTTTATAGGCACTCGCATTCCCTAAAGTTTTGGTTAAAAATAAATCAGCCCCGTTGGTTCCGATCGATGCGATCCACCTGCGGCTTATTATTAGCCTTCAGCTGATCCAAAGTTTGCTCAAGTTCAAGGTTGTGCATATGCCTCGTGTTTGTTTTGCTGTCGCGTGCATGGGTTTTTGTTTAAAAAGTTGTTATGAGGCAGTTGTACATATAGCATTTTAATATATTTTGACTTGTCTTAAAAGGGTTTAAAGTTTATTTAAAATGTATGTACTGATTGCAGGCAATAATGGGGGCTAACATTTTGTATGTTCCAGATAGGCTTAGAATGATCTTCGATAGAAAAGTATATTCTGAAGGCAAAACTAGTTCAAACGGCCATGTGAAAGCAAAAAAGCCCGAGAAAGCTCCATCGATATTTCCCAGCGATTAAACTTTGACTGCAATTTCCCGGCCGAGTAAAGTAAAACTAGTCAAATCAATCATAAGCTCCCATTTTAATTCAAGAACTGCGCAACAAAGTGCTGTTCGCCTGCGATTTTGTGGGCACAACAAAGTCAGTCCATAAAGAGTCTTCGATCTGAGGAATCGAGTACTTGGGACTTGCATTTGCATGCTGGGGGGAAATGGCCGTGTGGACAATGCCGAGATGACTAGAAACGGGCAACAAAATGCCATAAAGTAGTGGGGATTGGGATTGGGATGCATCTGCCACGGGAGGGGCCACAATGCCACAACATCGCAGATGCACCACCGCCACAAATTTCCGAACCCATCCTGGTAGCCACCCAACTCCGAACCATCGAGAACTCTTGTCGCCACTGACACGTAAACTATTTGGCACGCAATGCACTTGGCGACTTGCTGATGTTGACGCACATAAAATGCCAAATGCTGTGAAGGATGTCGATGGCGGCGATGGTGATGGCGGTGGCGATGGTGCTCCTCCTACTTCAGATACTCCCCGGCCATTCCCCGCTTTCCCCACTTTCCCACGTAAAGGCCACCAAGCAATTTTCCTCAGGACTCTCGCTTCTGGCAGCGGCATAATGCGATTTGGGAATTGATTGCTCCAGGCACTCGACAAATGCGTGCAGGCTAGTGTGCACCGCAAAAAAAATATAAATAAAATGGATGTATTATGGGACTTACTCTTACGGTAAAAAATCAATTCAATCAGATCTTAAATACGGGACTAGAAATAGTTTTAACTTTCAAGTTATTTGTACCACTAAAAAAGTAATTGATAGTAATAGATTGCGATTTATTTCAAATCCTCTTTTATGGCCTAAAGAAATTAATCAAATGTAAAGGTATACGTTTGCCATAAGTCAAAAATAATTTTATAATTAAATTCAGCTCATTATTTGAGTTATTTAATAAAAAGGGTTTGTATTACCTAAGAAAAACGTGTCAATATTTCCAGCAGTGCATTGCTCTCGGTTAAAATTGGAACACCAACCACTCCTTTACAAAACATCAACTAGCTGAGCTCTCCCCCCGAAATTCCGCACTCATTTTACGCAAATTACATTTTGCGTTTCGCTGGTCGGTCAACCCCGAAAAACCGACTGGAAAAAACCACAAAAAGCGAAACCATTTGCTATACAGTTTTTAATATGCCATTCATCAAGATGATGTGGGGATGTGAGAGATGCGGGGGATTCGGGAGGAGGGCCACTTGTAGACTGTTTGTAGGCCTGTCATTCACTCCGACTTTATTGACGGGGCGTCCGCCCGGTCACGTGTTGCCAACAATTCAATTTGAAACTCGTAACTGCACCACCCAGCCTCTAAGCCACCCATCCTGGCACACCCGCCCAGCATGACGCACTCATTCATCTCCAGAGCTCCTCCTTCGATGAGGAATACTATCCTCTGTCCACTTGTCCCATACACTTTTGTTCTGCAACAACTAACACAAGGGCCGAACAACATGAGTAGCAACAACTGTGGGCTGCTGATTGCGTTGACAACTTTGTGCCATTGTGTGCCAGGTCATAACGCAACTAGAGATGGGCCAATCACATCACGCAGGACTTGGGAAAACCAGTAAAACCATTTCCAACTTTCTCTAAAACCATTCTTTCCTAAATAACCCAAGGCACTCCCTGGTATTTCTCCCTTTGCTATACTAGTAACTTTATGCGAATACAATTTTTTTAAAAGAAGTATATGTATTTTTATAATCGAACTTCAACGAATCAATAACCTTATGTGCGCCTGTTGCTGTATTTAAATTTTATTGATATTAATAACTTGATCAGGGCAAACCTTTAATGATTTGGCCATATCACCTGTATAATGGGTAATAACAGTTAAATTTATTCATTAAATAGTTTTAAAATAATTATAATATCTACTTTTATTATCTAAATATATGGTTTCTCAACGTTTATTAATGTTTTAATCCCACCGCAAAGCGACCCCCTTTTCAATAGGCCCGTGTCACGCCGTATGTTCCATTCGACGTGGCCAGCTTCCTTTGATCCAGGAGTTTGGCCACATCGTCGACGTCATCATCATCATCTCCAACGGATCAGATCCGTCGGCCTATATGAGACAGCTCGTAAATCACGCAAATGTATGCACCCCTTGGCACGCCCCCACCACCCACGATTCGGGGGTGGCTAACGCCCATATTTACCGTAGCAACAACTGGCGGCGAGCGGCACTTTTCTGCCAGTGTCAGTGGTTCCAAAATTTCACTGCTCAAAAGTGGAGTCTCTCATTATAATAATCCAAATATTTAAAATATTTCAAAGGATGTATCATATTTTACTTGTTTTGTTAAAAAAAAGCATAGATATTATTATGATAGTATAGGATATGATTAAAACTATCCATTCTATATAATTTTAACCTTAGGAACCTTTATACACCCCAGATTAGATTCGGGATACATCAATATTTCTTAACCCAACTATGGGGAATTTAAAATAAACAAAGCGAGCTATCTTCAAGGCATTTTATGTCTGCGAAAACAGAGTAACTCGGTTATATTCTACGGTGCATGGGCTCTTTGACAAGTCTGCTTCTTTCGAAACCCAGGACGATTCGAATTGGAATGGTCGGAGGGCATCATTTCGGCATTGTGTTTATGGAAATTCCGGGCAGCTTCTCTTTTTCCCCAGCCAGTCCATGTTTTCCCTTTCCCTTTTCGATTTTCCACTCATTGTTGGTTGCTTACTACGACGTAATTGCAACAATTTTCCGATGACGCAGGCTGTATGTCGGTCGGTTCCGCCCACTTTTCCATAGAACGCCCCCGGAGACTCTCAGGGCCTCTGGATTTGCTTGATTTACTTGTTTGGGTTTTGATTTCCGTTTGATTTGTACGCCGAGTTTCGGAGCTCTTTGCCGGAAAGCGTCTTTCGTTAATCGCCTCCATTTCAGCCGGAGTCTGCCTAATGGTTTAATGAATTCACTGTCTGGCCATCCCGTCCCATTCCACCTCGTCCCCGGCAATCCTTCATTCCGGATCCCCATTTCTGAGCTTTTACGAGCAAAACACTTAAATGCAATGGCCAAGTATATTTCACAATGGAGTGCGATTCCCGCTTAATTATGCGCAGGCAGAAGCCAGACCGAAACCCAAAACTCAAACCCGAAAAACCGGGATCTAAAAGCGGGAAACCCCTCAGATAGACACGAAAATGGAATGAAGGACATGGTTCGGCATTTCAAAAATTTGTGCACAAAAGCTCAAAGACAAGCTGAAGCCAGTGCCGCCCTAACTAGCAACAAACAATTATTAATGGGTGTGCGAGGAAAGGGTTCTTGAAAAGTGGGAACTATTGAAATACCATGTAGATAAGGGCCCAAATGGTTGTATCCATTTTTTTCTTAACTATGGAAAAACATTAAATAACATATATTATTATTTTAGTTGGAACTAAAGAAGTGAAAGATAGATATGACATAGAGTTAAAATATAAAAAGCACAATGTTAAGTCACATTAATTTATAAAAATATTTATATTAATCTTAAATCCAATATTCCAATCCAATCCATCATCAATATTTTGTTATAAGTATGATAGATATGACATTGATATAAAGTATATTTGACGAAAATTAAGTATAATAATGATATATTGTACCGAAATGAGGTCGATTCGAACAGACCATGCAATATTTCGATAATATTTACTGAGTACGAACTGGAGGGTTGGTCGTCTGTTCGACATCACTCCTTCCATATTTATCATTACCGTCTGTTGCTGTCCTCTCATCTATTCAATGTTTGTAGCCATGGCAGAAACAGAAGGAGCTGATGTTAAAGCCAGGGCAATAACAGAAACAGAAGCGGGAAATGGAAAATGGTAAGGGAAAGCCAAAAGGCAGTGGCAGTGGCAGTGGCAGTGGAAAACCGAAGTGAAAGCTAAAACAGAAGCTTTGACCATCTTGGCTGGCATTTTCCATAAGGACTTTATTACTTTTTCATCTCGTTTCATTTCGTTTTAATTTTATTATGAGCCAATGGCAGTCCACTGGACCAACTTCATCGTTCTCTGGCAAACAAAAACAAGGGGGAAACAAGTGTAAGGAAGTGTCCAGAGGACAAAGGGAATTATGCCAATGAAAATGGAG